CGAGAAATGTTAGCATCATTCTTTCTATCACGCTTTACATTTAATATTTGACACATGAACTCTATTGACATAATATATTATTATTTAAACAGAAAATGAGATAGTTAGATTCACGTGTCAAACAGTGAATGCAAGAGTGACAAAAAAAGTGATGCTAGCATTAAAATCTTCATAATTAAAATACAATATTTCCTAATATAAACCTGAAATCCGTCATTTTCAACATTTTTTAACATCCATACTAAAATAAAATAAAAAACAGAACAATATTCCAACAACTTAGCATATATAGGTGACTACAACCACTTAAAATTTAACCAGTACACAAACCATAACAAATAAGCCCAGAAATACAACCAAGAAATTGAACAAAACAACCATTTTTCCTGCAGCAACATTTGCTTCCAAAGCCACGATCCGTTCAAGAATCCTTGGGTTTGATGTAGGAGCACCAATATCAGGAATTGGAGCTGCATCATTCTTAAAATTCAAACAAATTTCTTGTTTTGAAGAGGAACCACCAACAATAGAGCACGCTGGATCATCTCGTTCCCACATTGCAAGAAAATTGCAACCATCCCCCTTTTTTGGGCAGCAATAGGTAAGTTTGTTTGGATTTTCTTTTGATTCAGATATCTTCAGATCTGCCGTCTCCCCGCACTTACATTTTCGATTCAAAAAAGTTATTTCTTCATTGCAGGATTTGTTGGTTTGAGATGGATTCTAAAACATAGAAATAGATTTTTTTTTTCATTAAAAAATCATCTTTAGCAAAGAAATGTGGGATGCATATACTAAAACGAACATTCAAGAAAATAAAATCATCAACTTCAACATAAAAAAAATAAAGGTCATACTCACTTTTAGTCCACGAATTGTAGGTAAAAATTTTATTTTGATCCCTGATTTTTAAACCATCCTAACCAAAATGTCTAAAAATTCATACCTCTTGTCGATCCAACAGTTAAAATCTAGATGGAAAATTGTGAGACTTCCTTTTAAACAGGTGTGCCTTACGATGTAAAATTATAAAATGAACTCCAACTAAACCACAAATGATCGTAACAGGCTTTTTCCTCAAGATTTTAAAAATTGGATGACCATGATGAATAATTTGTGACAAACTTGATAGATTTCCTGATTTTTTCCTTCAATATAAAACCAAAAAAATTAACCTCTACCAACCGTCTTGATTGGACAGCTTTTGTCTTCTTTGTTGTCAAAGGATTGAACTGCAGAACATGATGAGCTAGTCTGTATTTTTCTTTGCAGTGCCGCTGCTGAAGGACCCTTTAGGGCTATGGAATTGCAATTGAAATTTTAAATGTTAGGAACTACTTTAATAAAACAAAAGGACTAAAATGGATGTTTGACAATTAGTTTACAGTATCTGCTTTCTAGTGTTTGGAAACAGGTTCACAACGACAATATGACCATTTCCAAAAATTTAACTATCGGAATCAATGCCTGGAAGATTTCTAACATGAAAATGAAAATGCATGTAAGGTTTATACCATTTTTGAAAAGTCATGGTAAAACATGATATTTCGAAAAGACACAAAGAAATTCAATATAAGCAAAGTACGTTTAGATCATATGAAAATAGAAAGGGCTGACATTGAAGCATATAGTGTTAATGAATTTCATAATAGAGGAGACACAAAATATGTCATCACTAAGATCATGTAGATATTCCTTTGACGTCAAAAAGCTTACAATGAAAGAAGTAAGATTAAACCTCTTTGGTTATTTTGCCAATGCCATGGTGGGTAATAAACTGCCCTAAAAGTAAAAGTTGAAGCCTCACCGAATTTCTGAATATAAGCCTTTATATAGACAGGACGGAGTTGCTCGATCGCTTGCGCATCTAAATAGGAGTGGCAGGACATGCACCGAAATGATAAACCTCTGTTTTTTAAACAACCCCACAAGGCAATGAGACAAATAAATTCAAACCACGTTTTTGGTACTAATTAAAGTGTTAGGTGTCTAAATATCAAGTTTTATGGAATCTGAAAAGGGTGCCGAATTTGGTTATGTTTCAAGCAGTTATAAGTTTTTCAATATTGTATATTCAACAAAATATGTTGTATTGTCAATCTAGATATCTTTCTGCTTAACATTCTGAAATGGGCAATTAGATACTGGTACCTGTAGACAAATTCAAGGCAGTGGTCTGTCTTGCCACGATGTTCTTGATTGTGCTTGTTAACAAGCCGGCTACAGAAAACCCCCTTGCAGCATAAACACAGCACATTGTCATCTGGGTCCTGACAACTTTTTTTTTTTTTTTTTAAATTGGTTCAGAAAAAAAGAAGAGATAAACAGATGATTCATATACGATAGTAGCAAAATTTTTTTTATAAGAATCCCTTACACTTGGCAAGGAGTATGTGGTTTGGGAATGTGAGCGAGATCAGACGAAAGGGACGCCAAGTGATCGCAGGAGGTTCGAAGCTCACCCCGACTTGATTTCTTTATGTGGAGGTAAGACACCCAACCTGATATTGCTTCATATATCAATTCCTCTATGTAGGTATTTTCCTGATGAATATGATCAATAAAAGCTTATTAGAGATTAAGAAAAGAAATTATTTATATATATATATATATGAGTTTTCAATGGTTATAGCTTATAACCGGAGGGACACAGGAATCGCCGGTACAGTTAGCCATGGAGAAAGTTTAGCTTCCTGACTTCAAAAACTATCTGTATCTCAGAATTGGGAAGCGGTGTTGAAATGAATTAAAAGTTTCCCGTCTATGTATTCATACACAAAAGATTCGTCGCACTTCCTTACTCCTTTAGAAAAAGAAATTCAAAAAGATTCCTGGTGTTGTGAAAGCTTCCATGTTGTTGTTGTAACCCCACTAGTTAAAAGACGTTTAGTGAGTGCATTAAATCTTTAGCGATAAAAAGCTCCCAAGTTGTCATAAGATTAAGAAAAGGAAAATTCCATCACGAGGAACCTTGGAAACATCTTGGGATTGAGCCTATCTATAGCCGTTGGATCAACATTTTAGTTGAGCTCAGCCGTCAACAGTGTGAACAAGTGGGAGGAGGACCCCTCGATTGACTGGGGCAGAGGGGTAAAGATGTGAAATCCCAAAATTAATCCTTATCTAATCTTAATCATAACGGGAAATTCTCTAGTAAACCTATAAAAAATTAACTATTAATAATTTTTTATTTTTTAACCGTCAAGTGTGTATTAAAAATTGACTATTTTATATATTTTTTTAATTCGGGTAGTCCAATCTAGGGCTGGCAATTCGTGTTCACGGGCCGTGTTCGGGCCGACACGATTACGGCACGGCACGATTATAGTGAGCAAGAACACGACACGATTAATAAACGTGTCAGAAATCCAAACACGAACACGACACGCTAATAACACGGTTAACACGACACGACACGCGAACACGATTATTAAATGTGCCGTGACGGGCCGACACGAAAAAAGCACGTTTATGACCCGTTTATGACCCAACTAGCAAAAATAGTGAATTTTATATTGTATTCAAAACTATATTAATTGACTACTTAATATCACTTATAGTTAAAATCATGCATAATAGCCAACACACATTAAAATATCTAAAACATCACTTATGACATGTTTCAAAACATACCAATTACTAAACATCTAAAAAAGTTTAAAAACATAACCAAGTACATTTAAATAAGTTTGAAAATATAACCAAATATTTGAAAATTTAAGTGCATAAAACATAATCAACCATCTACAAGTCCATTGGCATATTTAAGTGCATAAAGCATAAAACATATTTAAAGTTTAGGTTTATCCATTACAAATCATCCATTGGCATTTTGTAATCAA